GAAAGGGCCCTGTAAGAGCCGGAAGTTGGAAAAGATTGCTGCAAAAAGTGTCTTCGGAATATGGCTGGTGCCCTCAAGAGCTCACTGCAGCTCTTGACTGATCCACCAGCATTTCCTCATGAAAGAGAAAAGAATCACGGGGCCCCACCCCTCCCTAAGGGATGGTTGAGTTGCCACTAGTCTGGGAAATGGGTCACTGTTCTCAGTACTGTAGCCGCTGGTATGTTGCCCATGCCCCAATAACAAACTCACACCCTATTTCATACAGACAGCTGTGTTAGACTCAGTAGATCTCTCTCTCTCTCTCTCTCTCTCTCTCTCTCTCTCTCACACACACACACACACACACACACACACACACACACGATGAGAAAGTGGGAGAAGGGTTTCAACAGGGAGAGGAGGGGAGATGACAGGGTAACAGGGAAAGAGACTAAAGTCATCATATACATGCGTGAAACTGTGAGGCAAAGCACACATAGACATCTGTATGTCTGAGACATGTATGAAATGATCATTGGCCTCTGGCTTCATGCGAGGGTCCTTATTTTCTATAGTCCAATTCATGTACTACACAAATGCTTATTGAGCTTATCTGAATATTATCCTAACGTAACTAGGAAGGTAATTAATTCCATCCCAGAAGTATCTCTATGTGTATACACAAATAATAGATAGTTATGTATGTATATGCACATATATTTAAGTCATAAAAGTTTGGGAAAAGTCTCATCTGTCCACTATGCTTAGACATGATTTTGAGAATCTGGCAGATACAGAACGGAGAGGATTTGAAAAGGTGTGCCTGTACCGACCATGTATACACATCTCTCTTTGTCAATATTCGGTAAACTGACCCTGTACATGGCATTAACATTGTGTTAAGAGACAGAAGGGATATGGAGATAGTTTGAAGTTTGGGGGGCTGCACAGACTTTCTTTGCATCCTGTATCAGCTTCTGTAAGAGACCTGAGCAGCTGCAGTTTCCAGAGGCTACCCCCACCCCCATATACACACACAGACAGTGAGGTAGGAGTTGGCAGTTTTTAGGGTTATTTACACAGCCCTGTCCTCTTCAAAGGGAGAAGGCAGTGTTTGCACCCCCACATTTAAGCACGGTTATGGACACACATGTTCCTGTAAGTGAGCCTGTGGTCTGTCAGGGTTTGCAGGCCGTGCTGGGGATATGGAGGTCAGCTTGTTGGGAAGTGAGCTGGCATTCTATGCCTTTACCTGTCAAACTGCCCACACTTCAGGTTCCTACCCCGTGGAAATGACAGCATGATGTGGCAGTAGGGACATTTCCAAGCCCAGACGTCATTTTCCGGGTATCGCTGTTGCTGTTGTGTGTCGGCTGCAGGGGATTCCTGCTTACTGTTCTCTGAAGTTGGCCTTGCCCTTCCTGCCTGAGACTCACCAGACAGGGCCTGGCCGCGAGTCACATTCCGCATTTCATGGGAGATTATTCGGTGGCTTATTCCCTGCAAAGAAAGGAGGCAGATGTACGCAACTGTGTCTTTGAAACCACAGAAAGTCCCTTGGCTCAACTAGACACACACTGGCCGTTTGTCGGGTTGCCAGGCAACAGGGGGTAACAAATGCTAAGTGAGTCTGGTATGGAAGGGGTGAGAAGCAGGCGTCTTCAGAATATCTTCACCGCTTACCATAAGAGCCCTACCCAAGGGCTGATCTGCTTCAGCTGACGTAAATCACCTTCTATTCTGGCCAAGCGCTCAGGAGCCAGATGTTTCCAAGTACGAGTGTCTGATGGCGTGTAATTTATAGTCCGTGAACCTCAGTTTCCTCATCTGTCCTGTGGGGTAATGCTTTCATAGAAGACGAGCTTCGAGGTCTTAGGGCAGTGCCCGGCAAATGCACGCTCGGCAAACCCTAACTACTATCGTTGCCTGTGCCGTGTTTTCCCAGCCGACTTGGTAGGATGTGTTTTTTGGTAACAGTGGTGAGGTCTGCAAGCATCCAAGGTCCCTCTGATTCCTGGGATCTGCCCTGGAAGAAAAGGAAAAGCTTTTGCTTTAGCTGCTGTCCCAGCCCACTGTGGCTACCTACTTGCTTTTCCTTGCCAGTTTCTGTCAGAGATGTTGAGCCCCTGACAGACTGGGACACATCTCTGATGCATGGACCCTGCCCTTCCTTCCCCATCCTTGCCTGGCTTCATCCTCAGCCTTCCCTGAAAACCTAGACAACAAAGACCCTAAGAGATAAACTTTTAAAAAGATTTTTATTTATGTCTGTGTGATTATATGCCGCATGTGCGGGTGTCTGATGAGGTCAGAAGAGGGCATCGGATCCCCTGGAGTTGGAGTTACAGGTGGTTGTGAGCTATCCAATGTGGGTGTTAGCAACCTAACTCAGGTCTTCCAAAAGAACAACCTGTGCCCTCAGCCATTGAGTAATCTCTCGAGACCCCCCAAAAAGTCATTTTCATCCCATCATAGCCCTTAATTATTTGTTGACTTACTCATGAATATAGTAATGATCCCTCTGGTCCAATAATTAAAATATTTACATTTTTTAAAGTTAGTTTGTGAGATCAGTCAGTTGAAGTAAGAGTTCCTCGGTCCCTCCTGTGTAATTATTTAGGCTCAATAAATTTGCTCAATTTAGATGACGATGCAAAGTGGCCGAGAAGAAAAGAGTTTTCTCCCAAAGAGGAAGGTATTAGGCGCTATAAATAAAATAAAATGTAATACATATAACATACACAGTAGCGGTATTAGCGGAGGAAGCTCCACACTGCACACGCCTTTATGATGGGAACGACCTGGGTCAGGCAGACCCAGGAGTCTCCTGTTTCATCTTTTCCTAGAGGGAGCTGGTTCTCCTGGCATGATCTCTACCCCGGCCTGGTACTGTTCTCAATAGAGACACCCCCCACCCCCAAGCAGCTGGCAGAACCTTCTTGTTCCTCCATTCCTCTGAAGATTTGTCATCATAGGGTGTGTGGAAGTGGAGTCAGCTAGAGTCGTGGGATTTGGGGGGCGGTGAGTTACCGTTCAACTTTGACACTCACCTGACCTGTCCTTTGGGAAGGGCACACCTGTGTGCTGTGTGGGCAAGGTCTCTCTCTGTCTGGGATTCATGTGTTAGGGATCTCCTGCATAGGGACCTTGCAGGCCTCCTGTAAAAACCTGCCCCCAGGGAATTTCTCCTTGAACATCTCGGTGACTGGCAAATGGGCCCCTTTCTCCTGCTGTTGAAAGGGCGAAAACAATGAAACAAGGTACAAGGTAGCAGGCCAGAAGCTAACGTGCTCATACCTAGGCCAAGCCAAGACCTCCCAAGATAGCTCCATCGGGGGATATCGTGCTTCCTCTTAGCACAAGTAGAGCCTGGCAGTCTGAGGCTGTGGCTCCATCCCCATGCTCGCTTGTCTTGGCAGGGGAAGGGTGCTACCTTCCTCCCTCCATGTGGGCTGCTGTGGGATTTAGACACCAGATGGCCGGACTGGTGACACACTCATCAATAAAGTCTTCCTCAGATGGTTTATTTCGCAAGGTTGAGGAGGAAGGGTTTCTAAGGAAACATTCGGGGTCTTTTCCCCATAGGATAGTGCTGGCTTTCTGAGCCAGAGGGAAGCCATCTTTTTCTCCCTGAAGTACCTAGGACTTAGATGTTGCGGGAGGTTCTTCCGCTCCTCCAGCCAATAGCCGCTGAGAGACCACGCCCCAATGGGCTGGTATCCCATCCTCGTCGCCACTCTCAGCGGCTATTGGCTGGAGGAGCGGAAGGTTCTTCCGCAACACTTAGAGTCAACCACAGGGCGAGACCTGCGGCAAGCGTTTGTCAGACCGCCATGGAAATGGGTAGGCTCTGCAGGACCGCTTTCCCGGCTCCACTAGCCTTAAGAACAGCATAGCCTCCCATATAAAATCCGCTTTCTCACGGGCTGAGAAAACTTTTGCCTTGACAGTGGTTTTCATCTTTCATTTACATCCTAACGTTAGAGGAACGGGGCCCTAACTGAAGAGCCAGACGCAGACACTGGCAACTAAGAACACGAAACGAATGCCATAAATATCCAAGCAGGCAGTTTCTTCCCCTCCAGCGGCTTTCTTGCCAGAAACAGCTGCCCGACTGGAGAAAATGTTGGGTTGCCGGGTAGCACTAACGTACATTTCTCTGATGCTCTGCACCAGAATCCTTCCCTGCTATTATTTTCATTGTGCTCTCTGGGCTCCCAGCCGCAGGTAAGGCAGTACTGTACTGGGGTGAAGGGAGCACACCCTTGCTTTATGAGTCACTGCAGCCCTAGAAGTTTATTTTCCAGTTCTCAGAACCTTTGGTTTTCGCGTGTGTCTGTGGCATGCACGCATGCCCGGGCATACATGGTATGTGGGTGCGTGCACATACAAGTGTGTGTAGACAGAGAGTTGACCTCAGATGTCTTCTTTGGTAATTCCCCCCACTCTACCTAGTGAGGCAGGAATTCTTGCTGAACGTGGAGATCATGGATTCAGGCTAGCCTAGCTAGCCAGCTTGCGCTAGAGAGCCTCTGTATCCCAAGTGCTGGCTGGCCACCGCACCTGGCCCAGCTTTCTTGTGGGTGCGGAGGACCTGAAATCCAGCCCCCGTGCTGGCCGCTTATTCACCGGGCCATCTCCCCTCCCCCAGCTCTCTTTCCCGACTGTAAAACAAGAATGGCAAAACCTGCTTGTAGGATTACTGTGCCAGTTCCGTGAGCTAAGGCGTGAGTCATCTCAGCCACACGATATGTGCTAACTCAGTGGTAGCTTTCGCTATTGCAATATGATCGCAAACAATGGGAGAACCATTGCCAAAGATCGGAGAGCGCATCATTATTGGGCGGTGGGACCAGGGTGCAAAAGCGTGAGCCTTCGAGCTCTGACTTCATGCCTCTTAGCCACGCTGTGGACGTTGGAAATATTTCGGCCCTTCTGCCCTCGTTTCATCATTCCAGGGCACCCTCCTTCCACGTCTCTGCCTCACCCATTTCAAATGTCCGCTTTTGTATTCGCAGAACATTATCAAGAAGGTGATCGGGCAGAAGTTTGTGTACAAGTTCGTCTCTTTCCCGGACATCCTCAAAATGGATCCCCATGCGGTGGAGATCAGCCGGGAGAGCCTCCTGCTGCAGGACAGCGACTGTAAGGTGTCCCCTGAAGGCCGAGAGGTCCACAAGCAGGGCTTGTCTGCCCTGAAGAGCACAAGCCGCAACGAGTACATCCACTCGGGCCTGTACTCATCCTTCACCATCAACTCCCTGCAGAACCCTCCTGAGGCCTTCAAGGCCATCAAGACAGAGAAACTGGAGGAGCCCTGTGACGACAGCCCCCCTGTGGAAGAAGTCAGGACTGTGATCAGGTTTGTGACCAATAAAACCGACAAGCACATCACCAGACCCGTGGTGTCCCTGCCTTCCACCTCCGAGGCCGCGGCAGCATCCGCTTTCCTGGCCTCGTCTGTCTCAGCCAAGATCTCCTCTTTAATGTTGCCAAATGCGGCCAGCGTGTCGTCTGCGTCACCCTCCTCATCTCGGTCCCCATCCCTGTCCCCCAACTCTCCCCTCCCTTCCGAACACAGAAGCCTCTTCCTCGAGGCGGCCTGCCATGACTCGGATTCTCTGGAACCCTTAAATCTGTCATCGGGCTCCAAAACCAAGTCTCCATCTCTTCCCCCAAAAGGCAAAAAACCCAAAGGCTTGGAAATCTCCGCACCTCAACTGTTGCTCTCGGGCACCGACATCGGCTCCATCGCCCTCAACAGCCCAGCCCTCCCCTCAGGATCCCTCACTCCGGCCTTCTTCACCGCACAGGTAAACACTATTCCTGTGGTCCTAGTGGGAAGAAGGAAGAACCACCCCCCATAGTCCTCAAGAATTATGCCTTGGCCAGTGTCCCAAAGGCACTGAGTATACCGAGAGGCACCCACAAGAAAAGGCTTGGTATCCTGGCAACAGAGGGACCTTGTGACCCAGAGTAACCTCAGATGGATCATGCCCGTAGGCTGTGAGGGTGGGGAGATCTCTGGGGACATTTGCACTTTTGGGGGCTTTTCGGGCCTTAGGGAGTTTTGATGATGTAATTTTTGGGAGGCACTCAGAAGTGTCCTGAAGAGAGAAGTCTGTGTTCACAGATAGCGGTGTGGAACTGCGTGTGTCGTGCTCACCTTTAACAAGAAGCACAAGGTGTCACGCGAGCAGGAAAGTCCCCACCGAAAGCAGGGGTGCTGAGGGAAACTCAGGTCCCACCATGAGGAGAGGAGAGCAAACTCAGAGTGTACAACAAGTCTAAGCTGCTCTGAGCCCCTGGAGAAGGTGGCCTTTTTCTTTCTTCCCCTGTAAAAGTGTTACAGTGGTGTCGGGTTCAGCTGCAGGACAGACAGAAGCTGTCCCAGGCCAAATCAGACGCATGTTAGTGGCAAAGGTTAGCAGCATTGGCTTAGATCCAATGTCTGCCTCCCCAGCTTCCTTGACATGGGACGGGGCAGCTGCTCTCTGAGTGGTGCCGTATAGTGGCGGTACATTGGGATGGTGGCCATGCTACCCTAGCTAGCTAGCCAGCTCCAACTAACTGGCAGGCATTATCGTCCTGGAGCTTTATGCCTTCACGTGGGGTCACGCTGTAGGTGGGCCAGAAGTCTGGACTCTGCCTCTGTCGTTGCCATAGCTGTCTTTGCTGGCCCCAGCGGTAGACACCAAATTCTTTGCATGTGCCAGACATTCGGCACACACCATGCCTTTTGCCATCCAGGTCATAGCAGGCCCCCCGGTGTGGGTATTTTTCATTGTGATTGCCTGGCTGAGGTGACCAGGGTACAGAGGTGAAGTACCTTGACTTGGTTCCATAGCTGTAAGTAGGAGGGATGAATTTGGACCTATTTTGTCTGTATCCAGCATCCACCCTGCAGCTAGACACCCCCTGCCATCCCATGGGTGTGGGTGTGTGTGGGGGGGGAACCAGCTGTTTTGCCCCGACAGCAGACCACGGTTTCTGCAGACCAGATGCCAACACCTCTCTGCTACTTTGCTTCGCAGGGTTTCCCCTTCCCAGGGTGACATGGTAGCTTATTTTTGTGAAGTGGCAGTCATAGCCCTCCTTACTGAGGAGAGGCCCCAGGACTCTGATAGGTTGGAATGGGCACAAGCATGCCAAAATTAGCCTTCCCTAACAAAGCCAGGCTGCCTGGCAACACGCAAGAAGCTGCCTCTGAAGTAGCGGCTCAGGCAAGCCTCGGGTCTGAGGCACCGGGTGGACACTTTGGCTTTCGTGTTTAAGACTACAAAGCTAAGAGTGGTTGACAGGCAGGCCAGGCCAGGCCACGTCCAGTTTCAGTGTCTGTGTTCTCCATTGCCGCGCACCGTGCCCCCGTGTCTGCGCTCTGTGCGCCGGCACCCAGTTCGCGAGCTTCGGGCAAGGGGGCTGGAGGTTAAAATACACACACACACACACACACACAGAGAGACAGAGAGACAGCGACACGGGTCATCCTTGAATTCCCCAAGAATGCCCCCTTTATTGTGTTCAGGGGCAGATTATATAGGGATCGCCACGCCCCAGCTAAACCCACCAGAAACCACTCTCCTGCCATCAGGAACTCCTGAAGGTCTCGTGCTCAGAGCAGCTGTAGGCACTCAGATCAGGGGAGAACAAGTTGTTTACAAGAAATCCAGGGTCTGGGGTCTCACGGCTCCCAACACTCCATGACTATTTCTGGGGGAAATTGCCCAGGCGTCTACTGTGGCTTTGGTCCTAGCTACTGTGAACTTAGTGGAGTGGATCTCTCAGAGGGGTTGAGGGTGGCAGAGCTGGGGTGAGGAGCCAAGGGACCTTGAGCTGAGCTAGGGACCCTAGCATGTGGACAAAGAGATAGAGGACTCTGGTCTAGAACCTGGAGAGAATGCTTCGGGAAGCCAGGCTTCTCTGACAGAGGTGTGCCTCGGGCGTCTGGGAGTCACGCTGAGAGGTCTCTATTTTCATTGAGTGAGTGTCAGGGAATTAAAGAATGGGCCCAGGCTTTCTGGGGAGAGACAGTGTTTGGAAGGAGGCTGCTTGGGAACAGAGTAGAGCCTCAGGACCTAAATGCCACCAGATATTCCTTTATGTTCCTAGAGTGTGGGCCTTGCTCCTCATGTGTGGCTGTGCGAAGGTGGCACTTTTGATGGGCACAGGGAGATGGGTAGGAAAGTCTGAAGGATGCGGGGCAGAGAGAGAGCCATGGACCAGGACATGCAGGTGCAATCCACATGGACGGGACCAGCTTCTGTAGTTAAAGGTCACGTGCCTAAGGTCTTGAGGAGACCTAGTATGGAGTGGCGTTGAAAGGGGAGGAAGAGAAAGGCGACCCTTGTGGGAACCCCCTTTTCCTTGTAAATGAATGCCTGTTGGATTTGGTGTCTCTGTCACGTGGGTCAGGAACGCCTATGGCCATTGGCTAAGATGGGCATTCCCAGGTGGAGGGAGGTTGGTTGGTCCGAGAGTAGCGGTGTTTATGACAGATTGGTCCCAGGTGGAGGGAAAGAAGCAGCGTGGGTTCTGCTTGTAGTTTTTTTTTACCCCCCCTCCCCCACTCTCTCTGGCAGGCGCTTGCCCTCCTGGAGGGCAGGCGGACACACAGAGGAGGCTCTGCCATGTCCTGAGATAACCCAGGCAAGGCTCTTGAGGAAGTTCCCCTCCAAGCTACCAAGTAGTTCTTTTAAGGCCACAGGATCTCCAGGGAGAACAGCACTCGGAGGAGGAGTGAATGAAGTCATTTCACAATGCTTATTTGCATAAATTAGAGAAGACATTTCAACTGTATTGCCACAAGGTGCAGAAGGGATTCTAAGTACATCCTGTATTCCTTAGTAACCAATGTGCACAAACACCCAAACCCAGAGGGGAATGTAAATTCTAGGCCATGGGCACAGAAAACCCCCATTTTACATACTGCCCAGAGGCGTCAGCCTGTGGTCTGGGGGGGGGGGGGTAGCTGTCCTTTATGGCTTAGAAGATTGTGTAGACTCTGAGAAGTCTTCTCTGAGGCTAAACCGACAGGCCCTTATGTTGGGGTATTAAATGTTAACGTGACACATTGTGGTTCGAGCCTGGCTCCGGTGTATCATGTAAATATTAGCTCTCGGGTCACCTGAGTCCATGGACTGGAGCCCAACACGCTTGCACAGAAGGTTTCACAGAAGCTTTTGTAAGCAGTTGAGAATCCTCCCATGAATAAAGTCCGTTCAATGGGTACGCCAGGTACACGTTATACTTATTACTGATGCACTAGTAAAATATTCAAAACTATTAAGGCTTAGCATGACTCGTGTCTCTCAGGCTTGACATTTCTGGGTGTTGGTCATATATATATATATATATATATAGTTTGAGATGGGTTACATTATCTTCCCAGCAACCCGGCAATAATAGCATGCATTTTCGTCCTTCCCGTTTGACAGACTGAGATCCAGAGAGGCTAGGCTGCTTGTCTTAGGTCGTCAAGCTAGTGAGCAGAGGCTCTGACACGGGAGCCCCGACAGAGCTCATTTTAACTGTGAGCCAGCTGGCCTAGCACACTCGTGGAATTGCTTGCGACCAGCAAAGAAAGCGGAGCGCTGATTCAAAACACGTATTTATCCCAGTGACCTCGCCGGCCATTCCATATGCAGAAGGGAATGCCACGGCACCAAAGACTCGGATAATTTAGCTTAAATCTGCTCACCCTTCAGCGCTTCGGCTGGAAGCCCACTGGGTGTTCGTCTCTACCCCGTTGAACAGAGCGAACCTTTCACTTTAGGTTTGAGCGCAAATGCGCTTGATAATTGCTGAAGCTGCTGGGGCCGGTTCTAGGAAAAAACAACACGGCAGCCTCCAGCATGATGCAATCTGAAATGCTGGCGCCTTCTCTGGGTGCTCACACAAAGAATCTTATTGAGGGGCTCCTTCTGGTCACCAGAGGTGCAGACACCCTGGGCCAAGGAGCTTGCCTCTGCTGAGAATAAAAGCTGTGCACATTTTACTGGCTTGGGCGGGTTGTTTCTCCTGCCCTTTAGCTGGCTTGTGGGCCAGGACTCCTGCCGAGGGTGGGCGAGCAAATGCCAGTCCTGTCACTTCTAAGAAATGTTCGGCTCTGGCTCTCCAAGGCCCGCTTTCCGTTGCCAGGGCCGTGAATTCCCCCCAGCCCCACGTCCAGGGTTAAGGCTGCAAAACCAGCCCAGCGGTTCCCAATGAGCTGCTACGGACCACGCTAATAGAATTTCAGTTATTAAAGGGCTGAGGAGACTGTAACGCACGTGTGTGTGCCCGTGGAGGTAACAGGCGTCTGCTGTGGCCCAGTAGTTTGATAAGAAACGAGGCCCCTTCCTGGGGTGCTATTTTGTCTGTACACGTCTTTGTTTACTGGGAGCGGGGGAAGGGGTTGAAGGAGCTCTTCTGGCCAGCTGCTGCAAACCTGCCTTTTCCACTAGAATGTTTAGGCAGGGTGACTTGCCTAAGACTTGTGGACAAAACTAGTACAAGAAAATGATAACGGCTCCTAGCCGTGCAAATGTAACCCGGAGTTGCCCAGTTTCCCAGAGATGGCAAGGTTTGGTTCATTGTCCATGGCTAGTGCACCTATCTAGTTACCCAGCTACTCTTGTCACGGCTGCCGTGAGGTGAAGCCCTATCAAGACCTGCCTGTTGCCTTGTCTTCTAGACACCAAATGGCCTGCTGCTGACCCCGAGTCCGCTGCTCTCCAGCATACACTTCTGGAGCAGCCTTAGCCCCGTCGCGCCGCTGAGTCCTGCCAGGCTGCAAGGGCCAAACACACTTTTCCAGGTAAGAGTCTGGAACCAGCTTTGCAACGTGGGTCAGCCACGGCTTTTTTCTAAATTCTACACAGGCTTGGTTACTATGTTAAGTCTCCAGCCGGGCTATGGTGGTGGTGCATGCCTTTAATCCCAGCACTTGGGTGGCAGAGGCAGGCGGATCTCTGTGAGTTCGAGGCCAGCCTGGTCTACAAGAGCTAGTTCCAGGACAGGCGCCAGAGTTATACGGAGAAACCCTGTCTCAAAAAAACCAAAAGAAAAAAAAAAGTTTCCAAGGGGACTTTTGAAGGCCTGGGCTGCAGGGCCTTTTAGAAGCAGACATTTTCACTGAGGCAGAGAAGAGATGTGCTCATGTCAGGAACCCAGGCATGGCTTCTTCAAGTTTCTGGATATTTGCATATGACCAGAAACACTGGAAATTTGCTGCAGAAATTATTTAAAAATTTAAAAAATAGTTTCTATACAAAGCTCAATATGATGCCAACTCGCCAATATAACCATATCAGAATACATTTTAAAAGTAAAAAACAGTGAACAGTTTTTCTAAACTGGAGCAGAGGTCATCTGCATCATTTTACACATTATAATCAGGTTCTAATTTTGTAATAAGATATATGCAGCAAACGGTTAAAGAATAATGAAGACCTCCCTGAGATAGGTGAACACATACATTATTCATGCAGGTTCTGGAATCTTCCAGGACTCTCATTCGCTATCACGTGGAGGTCAGTATTTCCTCTGAGTCCCAAAGGTAGCTGCTCACCAACCCAAGGTGTTACTCCTTTGAGTATGTGAATACAGGCAGGGGCAGGAATGAAGCAGAGGCGGACAGAGTGCCAGCTCCTCGTTCCCCTAACTCTAGCTTGGTCTTATCTAGCTTGCTTCCCCTGCCCTAGTATGGCTCACGCCAAACTGACTGTCGCTCCTTGCTCCCACTGCCTTTAGCATCATCATCATTATTATTATTATAATTATTATTATTATGACTGCCTGTGGACCTGGCAAACTCTGCTAGAGAGTGGGCCCCCAAAGGACGGGAACCATATTCTGGTCACTGTGTATCTCCTGGGATCTAGCGCAGGCATTGACTGGTGCACAAACGCCAGTCATTACTGATAACCCCTGACGAGACGCCAAAGCACAGATGTCAGGAAAGGGTGTTAGGTGCTCAAGTCCCTCCTCTCAGTTGGTCATTTTGCTTATCAAGGTTACTATTTGCTGAGCTCCCCTCTGCAGGAACACATGGATACACAGTAGGATTTAGGGTCTAGCAGGAAGAATGGGCGGGCCACAGAGGTTTTGATTGCTATCATGCATCTCTGGTTTCCTAGCGGGCTTGGAGTAGGGTGTCATGAGGTGAGTATTCCCTGGAGTAACCGGGTTTCCTTTCCTCCCTGGCCCCCATTTCCATCACAGTTCAGTTCCGGTCAGGCACAGGGAACAAGGTGATTGTTGGAATTTTCACCTGAAGTGGTAAATTCTAGTGGAAGCGGAGCAGGAAGGGGTGACTTGACTACAGCAGCTCCTTGGGCGTAGGACTGCCATAGCTAGAGAATCTAACATGGGGCGTTTGTAGAGATCAGTAACTACTGGAATCTACTGAATAAGCAGCTTCTCATTTACGTCGCTATTGGGAGTTCTGCCGTCCGACTGGTGCATGACTTGGCGACCTTCTTAGGAAAGTCACAGGGAACAAATGGAATTCTGTCTCTATTCCAGGATTCCCAGTCGATTGATAGCCTGGACCTCTGGGAGCAGGGAGCTACCCATATCCCACACCCAGAGGTTCTGTGACGTCGGCACGCGCCTAGTCACATGGCTAGTGTGTCAAGCAAAGATGCTAGGCCTACCCCAGGACCTCAGATTCATGAGGTGTTGGACAGGGTCTGATAAAACATTTTATTCACGTTTCTAATGGTGCTCTAGTGTAGGAACTATATTTTGAGGACTGTTGCGGACTAGGGATCCTAATTTACACTTCAAATTCTGCAGATTCCTGCATATAAAGGCCATCTTCAAAAAATTTCAATTTTAATTTCACCAAAACAAACCTGTTTTCGCCCCAAGAGCCATTCAAAAACCAGCTGGGAAGGTTGGAAGGGGCTACAACTTAGCTTGGATGGCTGACAGGTTGCATGGCCTGAGGTTCCTGAGTTATGGCTGGATCGATGAGACCACAGGAAGCAACTCTGCCCCTTTTAGAATATTATTACTCGTCTCATAAGAAGAGCAATGGAGTGTGGTCAAAGTTAGAGGTGGCCGTTTTAAAAATGATAAAACAACAACCACGCTAAGAGGAATGAAACTTCCAACTAAAAATAAGAGATATCAAAATGGATTTCTCAGAATTCAGATTACTATAGTGCCCCTTCAAAATTAATAAAAATAATGAACCTCATTTACATACACTGGGCATTCGTGAAGGAAAGAGAAAACACAGTCTACAGCATGTTTTACGCAGAGTGGGCAAGTTTTCTGTGTGATTTTTGGAAAAGCAAATTTGAAACCCACAGGGAAGGACTTAATGGGGCTGAGGCATTCCTGCACAGAGGATTCCACGAGACAAGTATTTATCTGTCTGTCTTAGAGGGAAAGGGACTGGGGCACAGGGTCAGACACTGTAGCTCTGGCTAGCCTAGAACTCACTTTGTAGCCCAGGCTGGCTTTAAACTCACAGCGATCCTCCTGCCTCGGCATCTGGAATAGTTGGGATTACAGGCGTGCACAAGCATGGTTAGACCACGATCAGAGCAGATGTGGCAGAATTCCAGGCAAGAAGGGAGAAGAGGCATGTTTTCTTAGCTGCCATGTCCCTGGTGGAGAGAGAGAGGTGCCAAAGCCATGGCTGAGCGTGAATCGAGAGCCTGATCTATAAATAACGGTGCAAATCAGTCTGGCTGGCCAGGTGATCAAATTTGGAATGCACCTCACGGGTAGCAACAAGGTGTAGCAACAAGGACTTCGAAGGTCACACGATAATAATGTCCAGAGGAACGCTGGTTCCAGCTGTGCCTGCCTTCCTAATCCGGCCTCTCACAGACTCAGAGCCCCAAAGAGCAGGTTCTGTGAGGCTTTGGAGTCGAGACATCTGAAAGTGGTTGTTGCTGTCAAGTTCAGGGAAGGGACCGGAGAAAAGGGGGGAAGTGTCTGGGGAATGCTGTAAGTGAAGAAAGGGGCTGTGGTGGAAGAAAAACTAATAAACATGCTAGGAAAAACAAACAAACAAGCCAATCAAGAGAAGCATGACAACTGTGTGCACATACAGGCATTTCTAACTAACGTGCTGAAAAAAGACGATGCCTTTACATCACCCGTCAGGTGGTGGCTGGGTACCAAAAGGAGAAAAGATGCAACTATTCTTAGTGGAAGCTCAAGGCCAGTTCTGCGGTCCACCTGAAGCCACCGTGCAAGCGGTGACAAGGACACGGACCTTGGCTTAGACGGTCTAAACTGCATTCGGCTAGATCTAGGAAGGCGGCTGAAACCAAGTCCCACAAAATGGAAAGATCCCAAAGCTGCAGAGAGACAGGAAGCCTTACATATACCAGTCACCATTAAAATAGGAGCCGGGCAGTTTGGTCTAGCTGGAGATAAGACTTGGCTTTGCTTATGAGCTATGACCTTTAGCTAATTGGAACCTGGCTGAGTTGTTTCTCTCGTTTACAATGTGAGGCTAAGAAAGCTTACTTTCTATCCCTAGCCGTCCAACAAGATGGCAGCCCTTGAGAAGGCGGCACTGGATGTGCTACCGAAATAGTTTGAAAATGAAAAAGGAAAAGGATTTACTCATTCTTCAAATATTTATTGGACTCCTAACATGTGCCAGGCTCCATAGTTTGATATTTAGTGCTGAAGTTTAATATTTAACTTTCCTGGACTAAAGAGGGATTAGGCTCGAACAGCATCTGGTAGATCAGCTGGACACACTTCATCTTTGGCAGCTTTTACTTTCTCCTTCATTAAGATTGTGGCGGAGGGATTTGTCCACGCCATGAAGTCAAACCATAATGCTTCCATTCTACCCCACCCCACTGTAGTTACCAACAATGCGGAGGTCTCACTGTGTCCTGCGGCTGTAACCTAATGCCTTGCTCTTAAGTCAGTGAAAGTACATTCCGCATCTCCAGGATCAAGACAGTCTTTCCTTTACAAAAAGTTTCATTTTTGTTTTAACCATGTGTTTCTGTGCCTGCGTGCCCCCAGATCGCTGGCTCTGACATTAGTTTTGAGCCATGTGATGTGGATGCTGGAGCCAAGTTCAGGCCCTCTGTTACGAGAGCAGTCAGGGGAGTCGGGGGTGGGGATGCATAGCAATTCCTATCCAAACAATTAAATAAATAAATAAAATGGGTTATAGTGTGTGTGTGTGTGGGAGAGAGAGAGAGGGAGAGGGAGAGGGAGAGAGAGAGAGAGAGAGAGAGAGAGAGGGAGGGAGAGAGAGAGAGAGAGAGCGAGCAGTCAGCATTGTCAACTGCTGAGCTATCTGTCCGGCTCCCTGGTCCTCATTTTAAACAAGCACTGATGGCCGATTTTGCCATGCTGTGGCAAACGGACAGCAGATTTCAAACTTGGAGATCGCTGACTCGTGTAAGGAATCCTGGTTTCCAGTCTCACCCCCTTGGTATGTGAAGTAGATCAGTGTGCTCTACCTTCTAGAACCTCTAAGACAGTAGTGGAATGTGCCGTCAGCAACGTGTAAAGTCCATCTGAGGACCTCAGGGACACAGCAAGCACAGGGGCCTTTCCTGGGCCTCCCGCGGTTGCTCATTGCTCTAGGTAACCTTTGTAGAACAGATGGGCAGCCAGCTCCCAGCGCTGGATGCTGAGAACTACCTCTCCATTGGCGCCTATGCGTGAGAGGAATGCAAGCTCCCCAAGGAAACCGCCACAATTACTGAATGTCTCTTGTCCCTTACAGTTCCCCACACTTCTCAATGGTCACATGCCGGTGCCGCTCCCCAGTTTGGACAGAGCTCCGTCCCCGGTACTGCTTTCTTCCAGCTCTCAGAAGTCATGATGACCGCAGGAATCATGACCGTCGTCGTTGTCGTCACCGTCACCGTCGCAGCCACCGCCGCCGCTGTCGGCAGCAACTAGGCATTCAAAACTCATGAAGTCAGTTTGTCCCCATGGGCTAGTTTACCTGTGTCATGAGAAGGACATTGTGGAACCCTGTTAATTTGGCTTGCACTTTTCATAACACGGATCATCTAGATGTATGTTAGCATTTTAAAAAACCAATTTTATATATTCAGCTCTATATGAAAGTGTTTTGCATTAAGTGGATTTTAATGTTTTTGTTTTTCTATCCTTTGAGCTCTGAAGTGTTGAACACTGACAGTGGAGAACCTTTCTTAATGTTTTCTATGTAACTAATAAGGATGTGAAGCTGTTTATCCCCTTAATTCTGCATACGCTGAACTCTGCTTGTATACACGATATAACCAGCTGTGCCTTCCTTTTGCATTTAGTTTTATGTACATGATTTGTGTATTTCTAGTATTAAGAGAAAATGTTTGAAGGACAATACAGCATCAAACAGCTCTCCGAAGAATGTTATTCTCACAGGTAGAGAACATGAACGCCTGCTCCTACCACTGTAAGAACTGCCTTAGGACCTCTCTTGAACTGAAATTTAGTATATGTAATGTCCAAGTAATGTTTTTATAAGAATGAACGAAGCCATATTTAGACAATAAACGTTCTTTTAAAGAACATGTTCCAAAGTGCACTTTTTAAAAGATGAACTTTTGAGTGGGCCAGCCGCTGAGCCAATTACAGCGGCCTCTCTACTCTGGGATTCTGAAACTCCATTAAGTCCACACCAGCAGATCTCTTAAAGGTATACCCCAGGTTTACATATCCTTACCCCTGCTCTCTTGAGATCCTCTACCACAACCGTCTGGTATCGTTATCACTGTTAGGAGTTAGGCTTTCTTTAGAGTGACCTGACAACTAATATTTAAAAATCGAATGTTTCAGGGCTGAGGGTGTAGCTCAGTAGGGTGTGCGTCTAGCGTGTGCTGAGGCTCTGGGTACAAGCCCCAGAAAAGGGGGGCGGGAACGAAGCCAAGAATTAGCCGTGCTCACAGACAGTGATGAGCGCAAACCACAGAGAAATGACTGGATTACACCAGGTATCTTCCTGTGTGTAGGTACAGTTTTGGATAAAGGGAACAAAGCGTACTACACAGAACTGGAGGAGCTCAAGGCCATGCTAGAGAGGAACATCTGGGATGCGCACTTTGTGTATCTAATTGATGCCGAGAATAAAGCAGTCTGATAGGAGAAAACTCTTCAGGAGCCTGACTATGGAAGTGCCTGTGTGCCCGTCGGATGCTCTGTGGGGAAAGCGTCACGTGCTGTGGGCCAGGGCTGTGAAGGCGGCCCCTCCTCTGGGCATGCCTGCACGTAAGGGCAAGTGCAGGTGCAAGACGATGAACTGCAAGTACTTTCAATTTAAGGTCAGGTGAGCTGTAACACTTGTCTTCAAGTACAAAAAAAAAAAAAAAAAAACAAAAAAAAAACACAAAACCCTAAGCTGAAAAGTGCCTGCCTCCACAGGTGTTCCCAACCAGGATAAGAGGATTTAGAAAAAATAGAAAGAGCAAGCTTGTGAAACATCTGAAATTAAAAAAATCTAAAATTATATTTAGATACTAGATCCTTATAAGTTGAGACTTTCTACTGAAACTGACCCTCTTTCTAAGGGGAGGGGGGTGTCTTTACTAAGGGAGAAAGCCTCTGTCTGTAGAGCCATGGAAACAGCTCCAAACCCATAAATAGACATTCCTGCCGTTCCCTCCCGGTAAAGAACAAATGTGCACTAAAATAAAAAGGCGCTGCTTCAGGGAGCTGTAATTAGGGAACGGGATGTCAGAGCCAGGAGGCGCTTTGAGCATGCTTCCTCCTGGCTCTCCGCTGGCCGAGGCAGGCACACAGGACCAGGTGCACGACTGGTCCAAATCTTAGGTCAGGAAACAAGGCTGCGGTGTCTAGAAGTGCTCAGAGAGAGTGCAGTCGGTGTGCAAGACTCTCATGGAGAAACCAAAGGAGCTCATGCCCAGGGGTCTCAACCAACATCCTTTGCTGTTTGGAAATGGCCAATGACTATAAATCTGGCTGCTGTTTTCTTCCAGCTGCTGTGATTATCCTATATTATAGATTTATTGATTAGGAGTGGGAAAATACTGTAGTTCTTGGTGGATCTAAATACTTCCTGGAGAGAAGAGAACTGGAGGTATGGAGACTAACTCGGCTTCCCTGTCTTCTGTGTTTCTAACAGGATTAATTTAGCCAGAAAATAGATTCCAAAGAACATTGACATTTCTTTTTTTTATGCTTGCCCCATCACTGCTAAACTGCTAAGTTCAGATATCTAAATAAGTCGGTAATGCTAGCTGAAGTCGGGGCTCTAGAACCTGATGGCGGAAGCCGAACTCGGTCTCTGCACGCAGCTTCTCTGGCTGCAAAGTCTCACCCACTTCCATACGGGTGGCTTTTTGTTTACTGCAATGCTGTTTTGTTGAACAAATACTTTGAAATAAGAAGTGTGAAGAGGCAAGTGGGTTAGTTTACTTCCGTTTACTTACAATGATGCAAATGCCACTTTCCATGTAAACGAGTTGGATGAGCACACTTTGTTTCTGACCTGTAAATACGGCACGTCAGATGCTTTCTATACACATAAGGGTTACAGCACAGTAGAAGAGCATCTGCCTAGGATGTGAGACTCCAAATCTCAGCAATGCGCACGCACACACACGCACACACGCATACACACACACCTTAAATAGGAGGAAGAATGAAATGCGTTTGAGGCTGAGCAATAGCTTAGTGAGTAAGGGAGTATGAGGACCAAAACTCATACCCAGCACCCACATGAAAAGTAGGGCGCAACCATGCATGTCCCTATAAATCCAGCCCTGTGGGGGGAGGGGGGACAGAGTTGGGGCTCCTGGCCACCCGAACAGAACAGAACTGAAATCGGGAGGTTAGACTCAGCGAGAGACCATCTCAAGGAGGTGAAGCACGGTGCTGAGGGGGCATCCGACCTCATCTGGCTTCCCAGCTTGTGCGCATACACTGTATTCTCATTCTCTCTCTCTCTCTCTCTCTCTCTCTCTCTCTCTCTCACACACACACACACACACACACACACACACACACACACACACAAAACCACCACCAAAACCAAAGCAAGTTCGGTCAATTGCTGTCTGCACTGAGGAATGCGGAAATGAGGGGAAAGGTGGAAACTGATTTTTTCTATAAGCTATTTTGTTTACAGATTCTTCCTTATTTTACTTCCAAGCTGACGTGTCTGTGTGTGTGTGTAAGAGAGAGAGAGAGAAAGAGAGAGACAGAGGGAGAGGGAGAGGATAGACATAGAACATTTGATAGCTTGATTATGGGTTAGTTCTCCGAATTTTAAGATAATTTTTGACCGCTGCATTTATCTTTGGTTCATTCACAGAGAAGAGACAGGCCAAGTCAGTGTAAGTGGTATGTTTTGCTTATAAACAAGGATTTCATCACTCCCGTGCCTTAACAAATGCTAGTATCTCTTTAAAATGTATCTGATGCAAGACACCATCCTTTCCTTCACAGGACTTCCGGTTCGGTGAGAGATGAGAAAGAGTGGTTGTGTATTGCTCTGTTTTTAAGCACACGAACAAGAGACAGGAAGGCAGTAAAGGAGGAGGACACACAACCCAGTCTGTGGAAGGGCGGGGGAGGGGAGGGTACAGAAAAGGACTTCCAGAAGAATGGGTCGAGACCTGAGTGTTGGAAAAGAAGACAAGGAAGAAAGCGCCAAGCAGAAGAAAGAGTTTTACAATATATGCGAGAGAAGAAACATTTAAGGAACTCAGAGAGCAAGGAATAAATCGTGGTAAGAGACTTACGTGGAATAATTAGCAGCAATGAATCACAAGTTCAGAACAAAGGGGGAAGTTTCCAGGTAGCTAAGGAGTAAGGAAAGGATGGTTGGCTAGGGGTCCCGAAGAGCTAACCAGTTGTACTGCTTCCAAAGCAATCTTCTAATGAGTTCTGATGTTTCCGGAAACAAGGATGCATGAACCCATCCCCAAACCCACAGAGTCCACACCACCACCATCCCATTCATTCATGATTTAACAGCCAGGGGAAAACTGAAAGACAAGGTGGATGCATGACCACCACCCCCAAACCCACAGAGTTCACACCACCACCATCCATTCATTCATGATTTAACAGCCAGGGGAAAACTGAAAGACAAGGTGGATGCATGACCACCACCCCCAAACCCACAGAGTCCACACCACCACCATCCCATTCATTCATGATTTAACAGCCTGGGGAAACTGAAAGACAAGGTGGTAGGAGCTGTCACTACAGCTGGAGGCTGAGCTGAAGCCTTGGCGGCTCTTCCCTAGGGCTGGTCTACGAGTTCAGAGCCTTGCAGGAGCTGTCTCCTGTCTGCAGCCCAACTCAGCATCTTTGGGACACGGAGCTATCCCAGGCAGACGTGGCAGACCCCGGTGCTCAGCGGCTTCATCTTCTCGCACATGTCCACCACCTGTCTGTGCTGCGGTAGGACTGAGGTGGGAGAGGACAGAAGGGACAGCCACCATAATTCCTATACCAGTCTTGTCCACCTGTCTTTCTCACAAGTGTACACTTGCACACCTAGGGGCTAGGTATGCAACAAAATGTTTTAGATTTTTGGTCTCTACAAGAAGTTTCCCAGTAAACTGATTTCTCTTAGGGAAAAGCCTCAAATGAAAAGGTCTTCTGACCATCCCTGGTCAAGATTTTCTTCTTTTCACATCAAAATAGTTTTATAATTAGTAATTCACTTATATTCTTCCCGTCTTGGGGGGACAGATGTTGTCTCTAGTTTTTCTAGGTCAGAAGTGAGAAATCTTGACTAGGAATGATATGTAACAGCTTCCTTTCCATTGTAAGCCCAGGGTGCAAACTTAGCATCAGGAAAAGTTCCAGAAGGAACCCAAGTATTTGTGTCTAAAGTAATGCATTAAAATGTTTAATTCTACCAAGCTAGTGAGCTTATATTGCCTCTTAACACTTTGATATGGATGAACAAGTAAAACAGAGAAAAAAATAATTTAAGAATCTAGATTAGGCTGGGCAGTGGTGATGTACATCTTTAATCCTAGTACTCAGGAGGCAGAGGCAGGTGGTTGAGTTTGAGGCCAGCCTGGTCTACAGAGCAAGTTCCAGGACAGCCAAAGCTACACAGTGAAACCCTGTCTCGGGAAACCAAAGGCAGGGGTAGCAGATCTAGACTAGAATATTTAAAGACTAGAGCCACTGACGAAAATAATAAAGGGGGATGATATCTGGGGACAAATCTCTTAAAACCACACGAACTCAAAATAACCAGTATAGATAATATAATTACCAAACCAACTATATACATATATATCCTTCCTTTTTCATCGATAGTAGGTAGACAAATAGATGAAAATCAAAATGGCCGACTAAATACAAAACAGTATGGTATTAGGAGAATTAAGACAAAGTCTTAAGGAGCGGAGAACACTTCCTTCACTCAGTCTGATGCCATCAATGCCCAGTACCAAATCGAGGCAGATGCTGCCTGCAGACAAGAGGAAGGCCAAACCCATCATGAATTCAGGCAAAGACTCAACAAAAACACCAGCAAGCTGAATTCAGCAGCAGCATGTTTGGAGAATCTCAACAGC